ACACATTCATATTCGCACACGTGCGTACTGCACCTCATCAAGATGCAAGCCGGGGCACGTCTCTCACTCACCCCTACTTCCCGGCCGCCTCTTCCCACCACCCTGACTCTATGTGGGCCCATCCCGGCGCCAGGCGGCCGAGCTCCCCAAGGAGCCCCCTTGGCGGCCCCCGCGGTGGGAGGGAAGGAGCAGCCCTAGGGTCGGACGGACAAAGCGGGCGTCCAATCGAGCCCTGCACTGCCTCCCCGAAGGGTGGGAGCGGCGGCTCAGACAGGCCCAATGAGCGGGGAGCCCGAGTGAGACTTCCTCCCGGAATCCCGTTGGCCAGAGTAGCGGGGCCGTGGGTGACACGTAAGTTGGGTGGGAGGCGGTGGCGGCTGAGACTCGGACAACCGGGTCAGTGACACCGGCCGTCCCCCAAGCCCAGCCAGGCAGCGGTCACCACCCGTTCACCACCCCGGCGGGCAGCGCAGCAGAGGCGCCGCTCGGCGCCCCGAGCCGAGTTCCCTTTGTTGGGCTCGCACCCCTCCCTTAGGTGGCACAAAGTCGCGCAGTGGGAGCTGCCGCGAGGGGGTGGGGAGCGGCCGGGGCGGGACTCCAAGCGCCGCCGGGACAGCCGGGTCAAAAAGTGGGGAGGAGAGAGAAAGACAGGCGGTGCCTGGGGACAGACACGAGAGCAGTCCGCTCAGAAGTATGTGGAGGGCCCCCTCTCGGGCCCGGACACTCGCAGGGAGTGAGCCTTGGAAAAGTTTGGCTGGGGCTGCCCTGGCGGCGTCGATGGCTGCGCGCCCCGCGGTGCGCGGGGGCTGAGACGGTCTCCACTTTCCCTCCGGCTCTGCTTTGTGTCTCGCGTTTGCTCCTCATGCTGTGTCCGGCCACCTTCTTCTGTGGCCGCTGCTGAGGCACTAGTTCCGACTGAAGGGACGACGAGTAGGAGACAGTGGCGGTGGGGGCAACAGTGGCGCGGCGTCCAGACGGGACTATGGGAAACGGGATGTGCTCTCGCAAGCAAAAGCGAATCTTCCAGACGCTGCTGCTGCTAACCGTGGTGTTTGGATTTCTCTACGGTGCAATGCTGTACTACGAACTGCAGACACAGCTGCGGAAAGCCGAGGCAGTGGCTCTCAAGTACCAGCAACACCAGGAGTCCCTCTCCGCCCAGTTACAAGGTACAGTTAAAGGGGACGTGCGCGGCCCGTGGCCAACTTTGTCCCGCGTCTCCAGCCCAGCTGGAAAAGAGCTACTGGCACTGCGGGTGCCACTGCTGACCTTCAGGGACGTGAGGCTGCAGACCCCCAGTGTACAAGGGAGATGACAGCCTCACCCGCCCTCTTCTTCCTGGCGGTTACGTTTGAAATTGGTAGCAGCAGTCCCTAGTCCCACTGAGCTTTGGTGGGCGGGTACACCCGGAGTCTTTCATGGAGCACTTGTCAATGGCCCAGCTGGAAACTGGGCAGGCTCATCAGCAGCTTCCTGCCGCGCTGCCAGTCCATCTCTGAGGGGCAGGTTCCTGGTTTCTCAGTATTTGGTATCCAGTTGACTTTGCCAGTCGCCTAAAAAATGGACAGTGTGTCAGAGATTTCTCCAACTGAGTTGTTTTCCAAGGAATAATTAAGCATGTTCCAGCAGCCCAGAGTAATGGCCCAGTTGAATGGAACCTAGGCCTGTTAATTTCTTATTCTGTTGACCAAGTAGGATGACTTTAGGGATGTTGTTGTTAGGTGCCATCGTGTCGGTACTGAGTCATAGCGACCCTATGCACAACAGAACGAAACACTGCCCGGTCCTGGGTCAACCTCACAACTGTTATACTACTTACTGTTCATCAAGCTGCAGGAATGTTTTTTGATAAAAATGATGTAGTTGTCTTCCTAAGTAGTGTGGGGGTGGGAGAAGGGAAGGAGAGGGTGTGTTTCTGTGGTTTGTAACCTATTTATCCTTGGGAAATTGAAAAGAAACACAGATTTTCACCTTTTCAGAACAAGCAAACTGGAGCAGAAGATTTGAAATTTATTAATTTCTGATTTAGAATTTCATCTAATGTAAATTTCAACAACATAAATGATGTATGGCTGCAAAGTAAACACAGTGTGGCCCTGGTAAGAGCATTGTCATCAAATCCATATAGCTTTTAAAGCTTTTACTTGCACTTGGGTTAGTTTTCAACATATACACCACCCTCCTGCTTACAAGACAATAATAATAATAAAAAAAGCTGTAAATAGTGGAAATATTGACAGTCTGCTGATAATGTAACTATACCTTGTTCCATATAACTAGGAAGATATAAGTTGGTTGTATGTTTTTGTCTGTCTGTGTATACAAACATAAAACAGATGTTTAATTTTTGATGCTCTAGCTATTTGTAGTAAAAAAATAAGATGAGTGAAATTGATATACAGCTGATTGCTTGTTCTTATTTCCTTTTTCCAACTTAGGAGAAAGACAAGTATTTTTAGCTTACTGAAGCTGCATAGCTTCAGGCAATGAAAATAGGAGAGCTGGACTTAGTTCAAGAAGAAAACCTATTTTGGTAATCGTAGGTTACTTTTTTTTCCTTAACATTTTTGAAACTTTACTCATGTTGGTAACATTGACCAAGCTGATTTTGGATGAGACTGTTTTAAGACATCAGTGAGTTCCTTGTTGAGGTTAGGCCCATTAGAACAAGATAAGAATTTGTTGTGTAATAAATAATCAGGACTGTTTTTTTCCCAGATGTGGCTAGAAGAGGATGTATGTATGGTGGATTATATAAGATTGTATGCCTTGCTCTCATTTTAAGAACCCATGAGTGCAGGTACTGTTATGTTCATTCAGTAGTGTGTCCTCAATGCCAGAGTGTCTGGAGACCTGGTGTGGCACTGTAATCACTGAACTGCAAGGTCGGTGGTTCAAACCCACCAGCTGCTCCTCAGAAAAACGTATACAGCGTCGCTATGAGTCAGAACTGATTCAATGGCTCTTAATAACCACAATGTCTGACGTTCATTAGAGGATCAATATATAGTAGTCATCAACAAACAACATCATTCTGCACTAAGGTGGAAAACTTAAACCCCAGGCACTTTCATCTCCTTCTCGCTTCACTTCTGTGTCTCTACTTGTAAAACCAAAGAAAATAACACAATTAAAAAACAAAAACAAAAGAACCACCCTCACAGAATTCCAGATTGTGCATCGCCCCAACTGCCAGTGTTGCGCTTTGACTGAGGTCCTAATTTCCTAGTCATCCCCTTTATTTCAATTTGAAAATCAATCTCAAGTTCCTTTGTCCTTTGTCGTTTTATGATGATGATAGTGGGGATGTCCTGGTGTGGCACTGTAGGATCAGCATTGGACTGTTAATCACAGGGTCTGCAGTTCAAACCCACTAGCAGCTCCTTGGAAACCCTATACAGGATTGTTGTGAGTCGGAACCCACTCCATGACACTTAACAAGATGTTTGGAGGTCGTGTCGGGTGAAGAGAGGGCCATGGAGGCAATGTGGTGGCTCCATATGATAAGCTGGCTGGTGGCTGTGTACGGTGGAGTCAGTTCCGACCCATAGCGACCCTGTACAGAGTTTCCGAGGCTGTAAATCTTTACGGGAACAGAAAGCCTCATCTTTCTCCCGCGGAACAGCTGGTAGTTTCGAACTGCCGACCTTGCGGTTTGCAGCCCAATTCGTAACCACTGTGCTACCAGAGCTCCTTATAAGTACTGGACTACAAACCACATAGTTGGTGGTTAGAGCCCGCCAGCTGCTCAATGAGGAAAAGATAAGGCTTTCTGTTCCCCAAAAGATTTAAAGCCTTGGAAACCCTATACAGAGGTGCTGTGAGGCTGAATAGACACCAAGACACTTAACAACAACAACAACAACGAGTGGTGTGGGGAAAGGGAAGGAACCCTGGGTGGTACACACTGTCGACATACCTGAAGGTTGGAGGTTCTAGTCCACTCACAGATACCTTGGAAGAAGAACTGTCAGTCGTATTCTGAAAAATCAGCTATTGAAAACCCTGCAGAGCACAGTTCTACTCTGACACACACGAGGTCACTGTGAGTCAGATACCAATCAATGGCTACTGGTTTTTAGTGAAGGGGGGTGGGGGTAGTGGGTGGGGAGTGGGGATGAATGATAATACAAAGCCAGTAAAATGCACAACTCTTGCTTTGCACTGAGAGATGGAAATGTTCTAGTTAGTTTGTAACAGTGGCTTTGAAGTTCATTTCTTAATTTACTCTTTTGTCATTTTCTCCTGAATTGTGGTGCTACAACAATTATTCATGAAGATTCATGAAGAATATTTTCCGAGTAGGCTAACTTTTCTTCTTCTTGTTGGAATGGGTTATCCGTCACATTCCCTATGGACCACTGACTTCTGTAGCATTTATTTTGGATTTCACACTAGTGAGCCATTTGATGAAGATTTCTGATGGTGTGCAGATTTTGCTTTCCATTCCAAAGAAATGGCATTTTATACAGCAGGATGCACGCCACCTACAAGGATGGGTCTTAAGTACATAAGACTGCCTATTCTTAAGACTTGTGTATTTAATTTATGTGGGATGTCCTGACCTGGCTTGGATTAAGATCTAAGTTCATTGTGAGTAGCCTTTATGAAAATGACTCTTGAAAAAGTTTAAGTAGTTTGGTCCTATGGTCTTAAAGATATGTATTCGTTAAGTTAACATGTTTAGGTCATCTTCAGTTTAGAATGCATTGTATTGAGAACTTAGTTTGAAAGTAGGTTATTTCTAGCCCCAAGGTGCTTTTTTTTTTTTTTTTAAATAAATGTTTTATTGTGAATTGTGTGATAGTTTACATGGGAGAACATTAGTTTTACATTCATTCTATCATACATCGTTTCATTGTCATAGTTACCATCCCATCCATGCATCATCACCCAAGTGAAGGGTATACCCTGCATGCCTGCCCACCCCCCAGGTCCTCAGCACACAGCTCTTTTCCCTCTGGATCTCAAATCCACAACCACTCCATCTCTTCACGTCATCTTCTCTGCCTCCATCTCAGGCCTCACTGCTTCTCTGGGTAGGGTCCCACTCTCTGCTCTTTTCCATTGATGGTTCCAGGGCCCTCTGCTCCTAGACTGAAAAGTTAATCACTCCCCTCCTTGCTATAAAATGTCCACCTTTACATTTCCAATTCTCACAATCAGTCCTGATAACAATTCTTCACTATTGCATCACAAGAGACCCATCTGCATTTCATTTCATCAGCCCTTCCTGGACAGGCTGGATCCTATTCACTGGAGACTCTACCTTCCACCACACCCTTTGGATCTAGGTTCCCTCTCGAAAGCTTGTAAGCCAGTCACTTCTTACCTTTGTATCCCTCCCCACATTTTGGGTAGCCAATGTCCAAATTGCCCAATCCTGTCTACTCTTTGTGTGGAGGGGGTGGGAATAATTCTTGCAGCAGGGATTTGTTTCCTCTTTTGTGCTACTGCATTTATGGGTGTAGGTCAGGTTTATCAAATTGTATCAGATGACACCTTTTTCCTCTTTTTTGTTCTTCGTGTTGATCTCTGTGCATCCGGTCATTGAACCCAGGTCAAGTGGGTATCATCTGCAAGTGTGGGTGTTCTTGTGTCTGTCCGCCCTCATCTTAGCAGCTGGCTGATTCGCTCTCCACTCTAGTCCTCTGTGGTTGTGTCCTTGACTCTGAGCCCATGAGTCCCCAGGTCCTGCCTTGCTGCTGGCCGACCAGGTCTCCACCCGGGTTCACAGTAGTCTGCTGGACAATGTAGGGGTTAGCTGGCCACTTCATTGATGTTCTTCGGTCACTTCCCCTTATGGGTGACATGCGTGGTCGCCAATCTGAGCATGTGTTTCCATTGCGTCTTAACCTTGGAAGAGGATTTACACCGAGAGGACCCGACCACCTGCCTTGACGTCTCCTGGGCAAGCAACTTGCTTGTTCTTGTGGTAACAGTCGGACTGCCCTTCTTGTTTTGTATTTTTCCTGTAGGTCTTTCAAGAAGTATCTTCTGGTTTTCTAGCTGCTCCAGACTGGTCTGCTTGTCCCAGGTGCATTTTGTTGTAAGGAAAAAATAAAATAACCAAAACCAAACCCACTGTCCTATGTTCAATTCTAAGTCATAGCGACCCTCCCCCAAATTAGCCAACTGCATTTTGACTAAAAACAAGTATCTCTAAATG